AAAAAAAAAAAAAAAAAAATGAATGAATGAAATAACAGTTATGCATCGATTGAATCATACCTGTTGGTGTTATTTTTGTTAATCATAATGATGATAATAATAGTGATAGTATGAATGTGTGATAATATTAGAATAATATATAAAATTGAAGTAAGAAATAATTTTTCAACTAAAAAAAAAAGAAATTTTTAGAATTTAATAAATTTTTTTATGGTGAATTCGAATTTATAAATATGTCATTTGGATGCTTTCATTTTATCATATCAAATGATAATATAAGGTGAAAAAAAAGGATGAAAAATAAAGGTTGAAATGAATTTTCATAAGAAAATTGTAATAAAAAGGGATGGGAAAAAAAAAAAGAAATGAAATTATACATTAAATTGTGGACAATTCAAACAATCAAATAAATGATTGAAAATTTCAATTCTTTCGAATCAATGAAACAAACTCTTTGTTATCCTTGTTACTTCTTAATTATGCAAATTTCTAATATTTGGAAAAAAAATTTTTGGGAAATATTTAGGAATTAATTTAATCGATAATAGCAAAAAACAATAATTTAAATATACAAAAAATATTATGAAAGAGAAAAAAAGGATCATGCTAAATAAGCAAAAATAAGGGGGGAAAAGAAAAAACTGGAAAAAGAAAGAGAATAATGAGATGAAAAAGAAGTGGGAGGAAATTTTTGAAATTAAATTTGAAAAAATTTATAGTTTTATTTAAATGATTGTTGGTTACAACAAGTGCCATTATGATTAAATTTGTCCCCTGCTGTGAAGTTTTTTGAATACGAAATGTGTCAGTAAAATGGAAAGCAAAGAAAAAAAGAAAAAGACCGATGTTTTAAGAAGTCTCAAACGAGTCAATGTAAGAAGAAGGAAAAGATTTTTTTTTTCCTCTAGGATAAATGATAAGAGAAATTGATGATATGAATTGAAAAAAGATTGCTTCCTTTTCCTTCCATCTTTTTTCACCCCATTTTTTTTTTGCCCCGTTTCCTTCTTTCTCTCTCCCTCTCTCTCTCTCTCTCTCTCTTTTACCTCAAATATACCGATATTGTAATTTCATGATTTATAAGATGAGAAATTAAAATTATTGGAAAAAAATGTTTAAAATTGAACAAATCCATATTATACATGAAATGATAAAGAAGTTTAGCAGAAGGATAGAAAGCTAAAGTTATTCGAAAAATTTTTTTAAAAAATTCAAAATTTATTTAAAAACAAAAAAGATTTAATGAGAATGAAAGAAGAAAAATAAATTGTTAAATTATTTCAAACAGAAGCTTACAATTATTGTTACTTTTCTCTCTCTTTCTCCCTCCCTCTCTCTCTTTGTTAATTAACATAATTTATATATATATGTCACCAAATGAATGAAACATTATAAAAATAATTTAATTTAAGGAAAAAGAAAAAAACAATACATGAAATGAATAACATATAACATAATTAATTGAGCTGTTTAACGAGAAAAGGAAAAATGGAAGGTGAATAAATAAACTTTGCAATAATTAAATTTCCTTTTAATTATTAAATAATTAATTACTAAATATCGAAATGTGATATATAAATTTCATAATGAACATGCCAATATGTAAATTTCATATTAAACTTTGCAATACTTAATTTTCATATTATAATTTACCGTATCCTTTCCCTCTATGCCTTTTCAAAATTATCGAAAATTTTCCTCTAACGTACATATCTTTGTACATGCATTATAATAAATTCATATTTCATTTCATTAAATCTAAAAATACAACTAATTTAGTCCTTTTCAAAAGGTTAGAAAAAAAATTTTTTTTTTAAAATTGAATATTTCTATAAATTTTTCCATTCATATAATGGACTTATTCCTATAATATACCAATTGTTACCATATATTTTATTTGCATAAGATGAATACGTACGTGATAACTATTGTTAGTCGCATATGTGTAAAAATTTAATGATTGATGATAAACCTCTTGCTTATCCGTTAAGAACAAATGATTAAAGTCACTAATATCAGTTTAAAAAGAAAAAAAAGAAAAAAATCGATAAGTAAAGTTTCAGTTAATCATTAAGTGATTAATGATAACGATTTTTTTTTCTTTTTTTTATTCTCTTCCATATATACAAAACATATATTATGCTTAAAAAAAAAAAAAGAAGAAAAAGTACAATAAAATGATAAAATATCATTCTTTCATTTTCATTCATTTAGTATTTCATATTTTATGTATTTAATTATTTCATTAAAATTTATCATTACATATTTGAAGAAGTTTGTATTATTACGGAAAAAAAAATATTTTATCAGTTTTTTATATTTAAGCACTTAACATACTTAACATTTTTATCACTTTGGATATGATTACTGTAATCATTACTCTTGAATATTGCGAGAAATTAGAAAAAATTATGCGCAATCAAGGAGAGAAAAGGAGAAAAAAAAATATTTCTATTATTTTCAGTCGATAATTTATCCAAAAATATTTTTAAAATGGAAAAAAAATGGATATCATTAAAATTTTTTCTATTTTTAAAGTAATCATTTGCAATGATGATAAGCTGATAAGATGATAGATGTAATAAGTATGATAAAAATATTGATGGTAGCTCTTTGACAGAAAAAATTAATTGATAAACAGGTAAAAATTTAGTAAAAAAAAAAAGGAAAAGAAACAAGAAAATTGAGATTATTCCTGCCATCCCTTTTGTTTAATCATATATTAGTACTTATGATTGTCATAGAAATAATGATATTCCAGAAATGATACCTGATATATAACATTATCACAAATATCATCCAATATATTATAAAATTTAAAATCATTACTGTATTTAAATTTTACAGAAAAAAAAATTAAGTAAAGATAATGAAATGATATGATAGCGTCAATTTGTTTATCATTTAATGAGTAAAAATTTGTATTTCAAAAATTTTTGTAAAATGCACGAATAAATTTATACAAATTCAATATGACAAACAAATTTTATTTTATTTTTTTACATAATAACTCATTTCTTCTGCAACTAATTAAATGATTGGTAATTAATGTGACACTATTTGATTAGCAATAAAGCAAAAAAAGAAAAAAAAATGAAATACATAAAATTATCAAGTCTGTAAATGATTCATAGGAAAAAAATTCATAATTTAAAATTAAAAAAGATAATATATTTTTTATTTGATTGGCAAAATTTGCAAAAAATTTCCAAATTTGAAGTTATTTATTTTATTTGAAAGCATCTAAATTTAAAAGTAACAAAAAAATTTGAAAAAATTTTTCGGAATTAAAAATTTTAATTGAATAATTCGATTTTGCTAAACATTAATTTTTTTTTCATTGCTTTCTTCTTCCTGTTTGATATTTGTTGCATTTAGTTGTTGTATTTAATTATTTCAATAAAATTTTTGATAGAATATGGACAATTTTGATCACAAAAAAAAAAAAAAAATATATATATATGATTTAATCAATAATTAAAAACTAATTAAATGTTATAAATCAAAATTATACAAACCTTAGTAATATTGCATATTGCGCCTTCATTACTTCGCCTAATTTTTTTTCTAACATGCAAAAGAATAGCGTGATGTTTCTTTTTTTTTGTTTTAAGTCCTTTAATTAGGCTCTTTTTTTTGCTTTAATTTTTTTTTATTATTTCTTTTAATTAATAATTTTGGATGATTAAAA